TTTAAAATTGGTTTACCTCAGGATGCTGTGCAGAAAAATGGGTGAAGGATAAACTGTCTAGACGCAGCCCCACTTAGCAGGATGGCCCTCTCGTACTTCCGGGCGCCTCCACCTATGGTGACCATGACACTCATCCCGGTGGCATGCCGTGTGTGTTGGTTTAGCGTTGTCCCGTGTTGTCTTAGAGCGAAATGGGTGTCAGGCTGTCACCATTCACACACATTTTTTTTTTTTTTTTAAAAAAAAACCTTTACCAAGGGAGCATCTTGGGACTCTCTGTTTTTAAAACCTCCTGAACCATGACTTGGAGCCAGCAGAGTAGGTTGTGGCTGTGGACTTCAGCACAAGCATCAACATTGCTGATCAAGAAATTACAATTTACGTCCATTCCAAGTTGTAAATGCTAGTCTTTTTTTTTTTTTTATTCCAATAAAAAAAGACCATTAACTTAAAGTGGTGTTACATGCTTTGTAAAGCTGAGATCTCAACGGGGACAAGGCAGTTGGAGGAGAGGTCAGTACTTTAAAAGCCCACAGCCCAGCATTGGGCTTCTCGCCCTCCCGCCCTCCCTCCCTCCTGACGTCTCAGCAACAACCTCTGAGCCTGAGACCTTGCCTAAAACAGGGCAGATAGCAATTGCTTCATCCTATCTATGGACATGTAGGTCTACTTGTATTTTCACTGGGGGGGCGGGGGTAGGGTGGGGGGAGTGAACCCTAGTAACTTAATGATTATTCAGGCAGTGGCGCTCTTCGTAATGAAGGAAAAAAAACCACTTTTTCTCAAGCATGTACTTAGGGGTTCTTCTCAATCGTGCTGCTGATTACCTGTTTTATGTAACTACTTGAGACCATCTGTGCAAGAGACATGATTTAGTATGTCTGTAATTCGATCCTTGCCGTGTGGTAGAAGCAGTAGTCCCTTCTAAGCCAGTCTTTATGCCTAAAAGACACTATCGGTCACCTTTGATTCATGATTTTTAATTTATGATGCTACTTTTCCTTTCCCCCCCCCCCAAAGTTGTCTTGACTTTGCTCCCCTCCTCCCTGCCCCCAAGTAGAACTAATAATAGCCCCCAGCTTGAAAGTAAACTCCAGCCTGGAGGGGATTTTGTGTCTAATGATAAAACTGTATAACCAAAACAGATAGATGCTGGTACTGGTCTTCGCAGTGGGATTGGTGTGCTTTAAAAACCCCTTTAAAGGAATATTGCAACCAGTGCAGAACTCTTTTCTGAAATGCAGGCTGGATGTGCATTTGGTTTCTCACCAGGAAGGAGTGTTGGGTTTTTGAGTCTTTCCGTGGGAGGTTTTTATTTGCCAGGGAACCGCGGCAGGCTGCTAGCTAGGCAGCAAGAAGCTCTTGGCAGCCAAATGGGTGCATTCAGGGCTGATTTATAGAAGACCCTTGGCTTCTCCCTCTCCTACTCCCTGTCTTTCTGGCATTTTGCAGCTTGCCAGATTTCCTGCCAGAGGGATAGGTCAGAGCAGTGGAGAGGAGCCCGCCCATTTACTTCTGCCGTTGGCCCTTAGACTGGGTGGTTGTAGAAGAGACAACGGAGCTGGAGGGGACTTTCACAATTCCCTGAATCTGGAAGGCACACCTGAGAACACCTTGGAGGTTCTCCAGGTGAGAGAGGGAGGACCCAGGGCTCCTGGATGTTTCTTGCAAGGGAGGCCAAGTGTTGACCCATTCAGGCCTGTGTCTGATGGCTTCTTGGTAGTTTGAAAGAGAGTTGGGGGTAATTTAACTTGTTTTTAAAACTTTGCCTTCTGTCTTAACTCTTCCGTCAAGTCTTTTTCTAGAAGCTGGGTGGGCTCCATTTTAGCGGTCCCACAGTCCTTCCGAAAAGACTGCTTTTGAAACCAGATTCTTAACATGGCTAGCATCCTGTTTGGGAAGCAAGCCTTTCCCCCGGGGAGTGCTGAGTCCCCAGCTTGGTGCAGAGGGCAGCCCCGTCCACCGGAGCCTTTTCCCTCTGGCTTTTGAGGGGAAGACCAGCCCAGGTGGGGTCTTTGCAGGCTGCATGCGTTTGTGAGAGGAAATAGCTGGGTGTTGGGTCCGTACCCTGAAAGTTGGTTAGCACCTCCCTGTAAACTCTCCTGCCCCTTACTTCTAACTGCTCTATAAATATATACATATATTTATATATATAAAGTGACTAGTTTAACTGGCATCCCGCTTGAGCCTGAGACTTGCCATAAGAAACTGCTGAGTCCTTGGCAAACACTTTCATAGTTTTGTTCTCCATCTGTTGGGGGTAGGTGTTGAGCAAGGCAAATTCATCTCGATGTTTCAGATGGGCTTTTGACGCACTGTTGCCAAGGAAGGCTTTTTCTGATTTTTAGACAAACGAATTTTTGCACACTTTAATTGGTGTCTTTCGGCAACTTAAACACACTGAAAATTAGCTACTGTACATATTTTTATATTCTCTTTATAAATGCATGTCTGACTCTACCTGTAACCCGCGTTGTGACGAGTGGCCGTCCAGCAGGCCTTCCCGAGTGCCGCTGTGGCCTCTCAAGAGTGGCAGCATATTATTAGCCCCTCAGCACACTGGGAACTTCTTCCTGAACAAAGAATGTAAATTTGGTCAAAAGTCTGCTCTTTGGTTCATTCAATTGATTTTAAACATTTGAATTAATTATTATATATCCGAAGTACACTATCCTTTCGGCAGTGACGAGATTTCCACGAATGTGTCTTAACCTATCCCCTTCAGCTGGAAGTTAGTATTTTCCTTTTTCTCGATCCCTCGAAGTTGTCTTGTTGGAGACAGAAATCCTTTGCTGTCCGTATCCCTTGGAGTAAGAAGGTAGCGACATGGGTGGAGTGTGTGTTCTTTCTCCAGCTCTTCTAATGTTCCTTAAACACGTCTGTAGCAAAGATGGCGGGAGTTCTGATAACAGAAGGTACCCTTCACCGTGGCAATTTGAAAAGGAGATGTACTTGAACGTTTCTGTAAATCTTGAGATAAACTGTTTGGAGATTTAACCACCTCTCTGATGGGGGACCAACTCTATGGAAATTGTAAATAAGTTTTATTTATAAACCTGGCACTGTATTCAATAAACATTTCTGCAGCCTTTCATCTCTAACTGCGAACTGTGTAGGTTTTTAGCTTGTGTAGCCTCTGGTCCCTTCTGCTTAATGAACAAGGTGCTCCTGCCCCCAGATGTAATTGCACCCAGGCTCTAGGACGGTAGGTGAGCAGGAGGGGCCCGAAACACCACGGACACATCCCACGACAGCTCCGCTCTAGTTTTCAGTTCAGGTGTTCCATAGCTGACATTTGAATACCATCTCGTGGCGTATATACCGTATCCGTGCTCGCTTTACGTGGGAAAAGGCACACCAGAAAAAGATTCACCTCTGTGTTAGTCCCAAGTGTCTTTAGGAATGGCATGAAGAAATACACTTTAAAAATTGGACGGGAATTTTAAATTGCACAAGCACTTAGCTCTGCCCATGTCGAGAGCAGGGCAGCCTAGGAAGGGGGATGGGAGGCAACTTTCCAGCCCTGGAGTTGAAACCTACCCCTTAATCAGTCCTGTTCCAGACCCTGATCCTGGACAAAGTTCTGTAGCAGGGAAGGCCACCTCTGTTTCCAGAAGGATCTTTTCCAGGCTGCCTTGCCTGTTTCCTTCTACACAAAAGCAGTGAGGGGGCTGAAAAGAAGGGGAAAGATGACAGGGAATGCCGCTGCTTTGGTCAGAAGGCTCGAGCCCCACTTGCAGGGAGCATTGGGCTCCTCCTGTATACAGGAGCTGACTTAAAGGATGTGGATACTGCCGTGGGGACAGAACCCTCTGCCCTGACATTTTTGGCCTGGATCTTAGCTTGGGTTTTGTCCCTCTGTAGCTCTGGGCAGGTACTTTGCTTCTCTGGGCCTCATTTCCCCCCTTGGTTAAAATAAGAGTATTGGACTAAGTGGCTTTCGGGGATTCTGACCAACCCAGCTTGACATCACTTGTTTAAATTGAAATTGCAGCCTAGGGTGCCTGGGTGGCTCAGCCGGTTAAGTGTCTGCCCTCAGCTCGGTCGTGATCCCGGGGTCCTGGGTTGGAGCCCCACATCAGCTCCCTGCTTATCAGGGAGTCTGCTTCTCCCTCTGCCCCTCCCCCTGCTCGTGTTCTCTCTCTCTCCCTCCCTCTCTCTCTCTCGTGCTCTCTCTCACATGCGTGCTTTCTCAAATAAATGAAAAATAAAACCTAAAAAAAAAAATTGCAGCCTCAAGGGTGGGAGGCAAAATAGTGTGGGCATGCTGTATGCTTTGAGGTGACAAATGGGATTTTTAGTGTCAGCAGCTCCATGTTGGGGGTGGAGTGGAGGTTAAGCTTGCTGTTAGACTGTGATGTAATATTGGAACGTGGGTCAGAGAAACTGATCATTAAGTGACTTCCATCCTCCTCCCAGGACGGAAATAGGAAGCTCCCACTCTGCCTGCAAGAGATTCAGTCCAAGTGGCAACGTCATCTGGATTTTCAGCAGCTTTGGTTCAGGAAACACACACACACACACACACACACACACACACTTCCGATTTGAGCTGAACTTCCCTGGGCACTGGGGGCTGGAGCACCCAGTGACTCAGGATGCCTTAGAAGGAAATAAAACTTGAAAGTTTTTTTATAGCTTGGAGCTTCTCTCCCACTGCCCTCAACCCTCTGCCAGGGAGCGGGAGGAGTTAGCTCATGATCCAGAACCCTTCTGGAGAGCAGATGAGGGCAGCGGAGCTGGCTGGCTTTCCGC